GCAGCCTCATCAACTAAGCCCAACTGCTTTACTCCGAATCTGCTGAGAATTTTGCACTGTTGTCATTTACAACTTGTTTTTTCCCCACCGAGGGCCCCTACATCCCCTTTCCCTTGTGCCTCCCGGTGCTTGGCCCCAGGCTCTGCAGAGAGAGGGTGCTCGGGGCGGCGTGAGGACTGGCCCCCACCTTCTCCCCCGGAGTCCCTCAGCATGGTGTCCGCCACAACCACTATCGGCCTCCTGAGCACGTGGGCGAGGACGAAGACATGGAACTCTTCCAGACTCTCATAGACAGGCTCCTCTGAACTCTCCACCCTAGAGATGCAGGGGGGGAAGAGAGGAAGGGGGAGGGAGGAAAACAGAGCAAGAGACCCCTGAAGACCAGCTCTGCAAAGAAGAAAAAGAGGGTGCCCTGTCTTGGTTTTCTAATCCTAAATTTCTAATCCTAAGGCTGCTGCGGACATTATTTCACGCTACCACGGCTGCTTCTCCTTCCGGCTCACAGACGGGCAAGTCCCAGAAGAGGGGTGTGAAGGCTCTAGGGCTGAGGCAGTGCGAGGAATCTGGAGGCAACCCCTCCTGAATGCCCGTCTGGTCCAACAACCAGTAGCTCGATACGCAACTGGGCGCCCCCGTCCTGCTGACTTCCCCCCACGACTACCCACACGCCATACTCACTGTACCCTACGAAACCAAGAAACGGAAATTCCTCCTCCTGTGTTCCCTCACTTGAACAGCCTCGCCATCTGCCTGGTAGTCTCATCAGTGAACTGTTTACTATTCTCTATCTCTCATCTCCGATGACTCGCCACCTGGCTGTCTCCTGTACCTGCCTCCTCTGGCTGCTCTGCAGTCCGCCCCTCTCGTTCACACCGATGGCCCTCTTTTCCCTGGGTCACCACAACAGCCTCGAGTCTCCCCCCGTCCCCCACTTCGTCGTTCACTCTGCCATCTGTGTGTACACAATACACCAAGTTGCTCCTGTCGCTCGCACACTCACAACTCAGTGGCTTTCCGCCCCCCTGAAGCAATGTTATCCAACATTGGTGCTCGCTACGAATGCAGGTTTCTGGGCCTTACCTCAGTCCAGCTCAAGGGTGGAGGTCCAGAAATCTGCATTTTAAACAGTCCTTCCAGATTATTCTTATGCACAATAAAGTCGAGATCGGTTATAATTTTTAACTTTTTATTATCGAAAATTTCAAAATTTTAAACAGACTCAACACTAGAAAGAATATTTTACTAAACTCTCATGTAGCCATTGCCCAGCCTCAACAATGATACGCACGGCGGACCTCGTTTCGCCCAGATCCTCGTCTGCTTCTCTATTGGCTCCCACTGCCGCCCGCCCCGCCCGATTATTTCAGAGCAAATCCTAGACGTCGCATCATTTCATCCATAGATATTTCGGTTTCTATCTCTAAAACACAAAGAACTTAAAAGAAAATACCCACGACACCATTAATGTCAAACTTTAAAAAGTTAACGATAATAAAACGTGGACGTTGTTCGCATTTCCTCAGCCGTCCACAGGTTGCGACTGACTGATATGTGTCTCAGGTGTCTTTACACTTAGGGTCCCTCTCTCTTTTTATTTTCCTGGCAGTTTATTTATTGAGGAACTGGGTCATTTGTCCTATAATTTCCCAAGTCCAGACAGGGTACTATTTTAATTCCTTAGCACAGGGCAAGAGAAGCCTCAGCATGGCACACAGTCTGGGCCGCCCAGCCTCATCTACTGTTCTGCACCAGGTACTCTACATCCTGGTGATTCTGAACACCGGTAGCTTCTAGAACACACCACGCTGTCACATGCTGTCACTCTGCGTCCTTGCCATGGCTCCTCTTTCCTTCTAACGTCCCCTTAGCACAGAGTTCTTTGGACACAGAGGACTCGGTAAAGATTACTTCCTGCTCTCCGACTCAGCCATACTTACCCACCACAGTTGGCTCCATTGGCACCTAGGTGCATGCGTGGTTCACTGGAGGCAAGCTTGATTAACTCGTTCCATTCCTTCTGCCATTCGTCCTCTGTGTACACCAGCCCCGACTGTGAGAGAGGCAGGCGGGGAGAAAGCAGTCAGGGACATGGTTCAAGAGGCAACAGCCATTCCAACTCCCCACCATCACCCCACTCCCCCCCATCACCCCACTCCCCAATTCTCTTAGCTCCTGGCTTACAATTTGCACTACGAAGCCACATCTCTCCTCCCTTTTATAGTTAAAATTCATGAAAGAATAGTCTATGATCGCTCTGGCATTTCTTTTTCTTCCATTCTTTCCAACCTATTAGCCTCCAGCCTACTAACCCCCCCCTGCCCCCACCACCACCACCACATACACCACACACACCACTTCACCTGACTCTGGCAAAAGACAATAACCTTCTAATTGCCAGATTTCGGTGGACTCTGGTTCTCATCTTTCTCAGCCTTCGGGTGGCATTTGATCTCCTCTTTAAACTTGCTTCTCCTTTAGCCTCCACAATGCTACCTTCTGCTACCTCCGTGAACTCTGCTACCCCAGAAATACTGGTGTTGTGTCAATGACTTCAGTTGGTTCCTTCTGGGTGATCTCTTCTACTGCCACAATCTCATGTGCTACTCTCTACAAGGCTCAGGACTCTAAAGTCTCCCTCTCCAGCCCAGACTTCCTCCTAATTTCCATATTCACGTTCAGCCGCCTCCTGATGATCACCACCTGCCCACGACTACCTCAAACTCTAGTCAAAACTCAACTCCTACCTCTTCCAAACCCGCTCTTCTTCCCGTATTCCCACCTTAGTGAACAGCACCGACCAGCACTTAAACATCCAAGCTAGAAAGCAGGGAGTTCTCGAAGACCCTTCTCATTCCACCCACCCCACACCTGGATCTCCTCAGTCAACAGTCATGAAACACGAACTACTGCAAGAGACTCTTAACTGGTCTACTACTTCCGGTCATGCATTCTCTGCTCCATTTTCTACAATGCTACCAGAAAGATCTTTCTTAAATTAGAATCTGATGTTTGCGTTCTGCCACAAATTCCTTTAAGAATCATCATTTCCTATTAGACATAATTCAAACTCCTTACGCGTAGCATGTGAAGTCTACCTCCTGGCCCCTACCCCCTCCCTAGTCTGATATACCATTTAACTAGTTTGTTGAATGCTCCATGTTGTTTTACGTTTCTGGGCTTTCCTCTAAGTTGTTCCTTCTGCCTCGAGCAGCTGCTCCCTATCCACCTGGTGAACAATTTCTCAGCTCTCAAGAGAGAACTCAAGTATCATTCTCCTATGAAGACTTTCCTAAATCTCCCTGGTAGATCATACTCCTTCCTCTGTGTCCTTCCTCCTCAACTGCTACAGACTCCTATCATAAACATCGTAACCCATTACTTTGTTGCAATTATGTATTTACATCTCCATCTCCTGCTGCTACTCCTAAGGGCCTACACCAACTTTTATGTGAGATGCCTACTGTGTGATCAGTAATCAATAAATATATGCCAAGTGAAACTATAACTTTTGTCAAAGGAACAGAAGTGGTACAAACCATTTAAAAATACCGTATTGGCTTTAGACTGTATATGATGATTTAGGAGATAAGTCTAATAACATTTGGCTAACATTAGAGTTAAAATGAGTTTACACTGCTTAACTACACACCGACAGCGTAAAAAGAATCACAATTAAAACATGAGGGGCATCGGGAACAAATTTAACGGGAATTAATTTTGTGAGCGCGTTCTACTTTAATTAAAAAACGACAAAACTATTTTCTGTTGCAAAATGCTATCAATTTTTTTTCAATTAAAAAGAACAACAACAATGCACAGATTATATGTGGGTGCTCTGGTCACTCTGACAAATAGATGGTCATTGATACACATCCACGAGGGTCGGCCTCCCGTCTTCCTCTTAACTGTTCCTGCTTTCCTGTTTTTACACACACGGCCACTAGGTGGTGGCCCTTTAAGCCAGAAAATGTTCGGACTGGGTTTTACCACCAATTTGAACACAAAACGAGGTCTGGGAAATCAAAACCATTTTAGTTTGTTTGATGTTTGGCACTGGCTAAAAGAAGCTCCCCAGTCTGTCACGCTTCTCCCCCGCCTTCCCACTCCCAAAGCTGAATGACCGGAGCTAACACAAGCATCTCGGCTACACTTCTACTACGGAGGGAGCTTTTAATGTGCACAGCAAAAGGAGTGCTCCTTTGGTAGCCCCCATTCTCTGTGCACGTATTTCCACTGGGGACTTTGTGAGGGAACAGGTGGCTGACCAAGAATAGACCCTGGCGATTTCTGGGCCCCCTGCTAAATACCATCAGAATCTAACCCCACCTTTAAAATAAGAACTATAACAGCTTAAAAGCTGGAACTGGGCACACCTACTCTCTGACTGTTGCTGTCACTTCTATTAATAACCAGCATGCTCTGGTTTGGTCTTTTTTTTCTTTTCTTTTTTTTTGTCTTGGGAGTGGTCAACTGTAAGATTCCGTATGGTGTGACTTCAACAATGAAGAAGGCAAACTCTGGCCTGGCTCCAGCTCAGGCAGAGGCAGCTCTCCACGAGGACCAGCTCAGCTCACCAGGGAGCCAGGTCTGGCCCCTCTCCACTTACTTCCCTCCAGAATCTTCCAGGGCAGACTGGCTGATCAAAGACAGGGCTCTGATCTTAATATCATTTTAACAATGGGTCCTTTGTTTTTGAGAAAGAAATAAAACATATTCTACTTACATATTTAAATTTTTCAGGACATATAATTCTAATAACTAATACCAAAAAAAACCTCTTAGTTCTGTATTATGGCCAGTTATGATTGAGCAACAAAGAGAGAAAAGAAAGAAGATAGAAAGAAAAAAGGAAAGTGTCTGAAGAGAAATCCCCATGTTAATACCAGAAACGCCCACCTGCACACCTGGAAAAAGAGAGCGAGGGGAAAGGGAAATAGGGAGACTCGTCACCTTCACGGAAAAGTACAATGTCATTGCTGAAGGAAAGGGTGGGAACCTATTAGCCTCCAGCCTACTAACCCCCCCCTGCCCCCACCACCACCACCACATACACCACACACACCACTTCACCTGACTCTGGCAAAAGACAATGACCTTCTAATTGCCAGATTTCGGTGGACTCTGGTTCTCATCTTTCTCAGCCTTCGGGTGGCATTTGATCTCCTCTTTAAACTTGCTTCTCCTTTAGCCTCCACAATGCTACCTTCTGCTACCTCCGTGAACTCTGCTACCCCAGAAATACTGGTGTTGTGTCAATGACTTCAGTTGGTTCCTTCTGGGTGATCTCTTCTACAATCTCATGTGCTACTCTCTACAAGGCTCAGGACTCTAAAGTCTCCCTCTCCAGCCCAGACTTCCTCCTAATTTCCATATTCACGTTCAGCCGCCTCCTGATGATCACCACCTGCCCACGACTACCTCAAACTCTAGTCAAAACTCAACTCCTACCTCTTCCAAACCCGCTCTTCTTCCCGTATTCCCACCTTAGTGAACAGCACCGACCAGCACTTAAACATCCAAGCTAGAAAGCAGGGAGTTCTCGAAGACCCTTCTCATTCCACCCACCCCACACCTGGATCTCCTCAGTCAACAGTCATGAAACACGAACTACTGCAAGAGACTCTTAACTGGTCTACTACTTCCGGTCATGCATTCTCTGCTCCATTTTCTACAATGCTACCAGAAAGATCTTTCTTAAATTAGAATCTGATGTTTGCGTTCTGCCACAAATTCCTTTAAGAATCATCATTTCCTATTAGACATAATTCAAACTCCTTACGCGTAGCATGTGAAGTCTACCTCCTGGCCCCTACCCCCTCCCTAGTCTGATATACCATTTAACTAGTTCGTTGAATGCTCCATGTTGTTTTACGTTTCTGGGCTTTCCTCTAAGTTGTTCCTTCTGCCTCGAGCAGCTGCTCCCTATCCACCTGGTGAACAATTTCTCAGCTCTCAAGAGAGAACTCAAGTATCATTCTCCTATGAAGACTTTCCTAAATCTCCCTGGTAGATCATACTCCTTCCTCTGTGTCCTTCCTCCTCAACTGCTACAGACTCCTATCATAAACATCGTAACCCATTACTTTGTTGCAATTATGTATTTACATCTCCATCTCCTGCTGCTACTCCTAAGGGCCTACACCAACTTTTATGTGAGATGCCTACTGTGTGATCAGTAATCAATAAATATATGCCAAGTGAAACTATAACTTTTGTCAAAGGAACAGAAGTGGTACAAACCATTTAAAAATACCGTATTGGCTTTAGACTGTATATGATGATTTAGGAGATAAGTCTAATAACATTTGGCTAACATTAGAGTTAAAATGAGTTTACACTGCTTAACTACACACCGACAGCGTAAAAAGAATCACAATTAAAACATGAGGGGCATCGGGAACAAATTTAACGGGAATTAATTTTGTGAGCGCGTTCTACTTTAATTAAAAAACGACAAAACTATTTTCTGTTGCAAAATGCTATCAATTTTTTTTCAATTAAAAAGAACAACAACAATGCACAGATTATATGTGGGTGCTCTGGTCACTCTGACAAATAGGATGGTCATTATACACATCCACGAGGGTCGGCCTCCCGTCTTCCTCTTAACTGTTCCTGCTTTCCTGTTTTTACACACACGGCCACTAGGTGGTGGCCCTTCAAGCCAGAAAATGTTCGGACTGGGTTTTACCACCAATTTGAACACAAAACGAGGTCTGGGAAATCAAAACCATTTTAGTTTGTTTGATGTTTGGCACTGGCTAAAAGAAGCTCCCCAGTCTGTCACGCTTCTCCCCCGCCTTCCCACTCCCAAAGCTGAATGACCGGAGCTAACACAAGCATCTCGGCTACACTTCTACTACGGAGGGAGCTTTTAATGTGCACAGCAAAAGGAGTGCTCCTTTGGTAGCCCCCATTCTCTGTGCACGTATTTCCACTGGGGACTTTGTGAGGGAACAGGTGGCTGACCAAGAATAGACCCTGGCGATTTCTGGGCCCCCTGCTAAATACCATCAGAATCTAACCCCACCTTTAAAATAAGAACTATAACAGCTTAAAAGCTGGAACTGGGCACACCTACTCTCTGACTGTTGCTGTCACTTCTATTAATAACCAGCATGCTCTGGTTTGGTCTTTTTTTTCTTTTCTTTTTTTTTGTCTTGGGAGTGGTCAACTGTAAGATTCCGTATGGTGTGACTTCAACAATGAAGAAGGCAAACTCTGGCCTGGCTCCAGCTCAGGCAGAGGCAGCTCTCCACGAGGACCAGCTCAGCTCACCAGGGAGCCAGGTCTGGCCCCTCTCCACTTACTTCCCTCCAGAATCTTCCAGGGCAGACTGGCTGATCAAAGACAGGGCTCTGATCTTAATATCATTTTAACAATGGGTCCTTTGTTTTTGAGAAAGAAATAAAACATATTCTACTTACATATTTAAATTTTTCAGGACATATAATTCTAATAACTAATACCAAAAAAAACCTCTTAGTTCTGTATTATGGCCAGTTATGATTGAGCAACAAAGAGAGAAAAGAAAGAAGATAGAAAGAAAAAAGGAAAGTGTCTGAAGAGAAATCCCCATGTTAATACCAGAAACGCCCACCTGCACACCTGGAAAAAGAGAGCGAGGGGAAAGGGAAATAGGGAGACTCGTCACCTTCACGGAAAAGTACAATGTCATTGCTGAAGGAAAGGGTGGGCAAGCTTTTTCTGTAAAGAGCCCGATGGTAAACCTTTTAGCCTGTGCCGGCCACGGGCAACTCATTCTGCTGCTGTACAAAGCTCTTAAAAAGACATACCCATGTAAATGAACAGGAGGGCTGTGTTCCAATAAAACTTTTTTTTTTTTTTTTTTTACAGAAACAATTGGTGGGATTTGGCTCAGAGGTCACAGTTTGCCCAACCCCTGTTTTGTTATGGGGATGGAAAGTACAAACAGTCCATTGTTAATTTCTTACACAAAACCAGCTTCAATATTTGCTAAACGCCTGAGAAGTACCATTCAAACCCAATTTAACAGGCACATTTTTAAAAATTTAAAACAAAGTATTTGAAAAATAAATGGTATACATGGCCAAAAAAATTTTTAAGGATTTATATTTCTACTCGGGTTGAAAACATAAGTCCTTAAAAACTGGTCTAGCCTTATTACGAGCATAAAACTCAAAATGATACAAAAATTCCTATGGACCTGTCATAACACATCTTGCAAAAGACAGGCTCACTGGGCGCCAATCAGGTGAAAAGCAGTTAGATACGTCCTCTGTAGGCCTCGGCTTCCCCACACCTGTTCTCGTGTCTCTATTAGAAGGCGTTTACCCTATGGTGTTCTCTGCACTGTCTACAATTTCCAGAATTCCGGGAGGAGTAACTGAACGAAGCACCTGGAGATGCTACTGAGCGGCAGGCCCTGGGCACCGCCCCCGGTACCTGGGACAAGGTGCCCCCACCACACTCCCTCACCTCCTTATTCTGCTGTGTTTGCTGCCACCTCCAGCGCCGGCGCAGCGCTTCCTTCTCGGCTCCCTTCTCCATCAGTGCATACAGGGCTTTCCGCAGCATCAAGTCCCGATCGTGGAAGCCCCACATCCCTGTGGCAACAGCACACGCCAGTTAGAGACCTTGCCTTGACTCAAACCCGCTTATTAGTTATGGCACACAGACTCTGGCATGAAGGGCATCAGGCTGAATGAAGCCCAAGTTCAAAGAAACCCTTCCATGACTTAGGGGAAAGGTACTTAATCAATGAAGAACAAATGTTTCTACTCTGGAGGTTCAGAAACTTCGAGGACTTGACAGTAGGGGACATGCGACGTCCTGTGAACTCCTGACAGGAAACCTTCCTGACACAGGGCTAACACACTCCAGGACAGAGCAGCAGCGCACAAGACGGGTCTGGCACGTGGCAATCAGCATCGAAGCTTGAGGGACGCTTGGAAAATGGGGACTTTTTTTTAAAGCTAAGGCAAATAATATATTTAATTATAAATGGCCTTTATAATGTAAAGTAAACAAGTCTCCAAAGGATTGATGAAAACATCTCTTTTTATATAGCAAAAGAATAAATGTGAAGTAGAATCGTACACACATACAGAGCTATAAATGGCCTGCGTTCTGCTGCTCATGACGTCTGGGGGTCAGCAGTCAGGGTGGGACCCATGATAATTCTGTGTTCTCCGTGCACTCTCCGAACGAGACTGCAAAACCAGGGCAAGGCTCTCTGTCTCTCTGTCTGTCTGTCTGTCTCTCTCGGGGCTCTCTGTCTCTCTGTCTGTCTGTCTGTCTGTCTGTCTCTCTCTCTGTCTCTGTTTGTCTGTCTCTGTCCCTATGTCCCTCTCTGTCTCTCTGTCTCTCTGTATCTCTCTCCCTCCCTCCCTCCCCTCCTCTCTGACCTTGCTCTGAACCATCACTCCTGCCTAAGATCGAGGCTGGCTGGATCGAGTCCTGCACATGAGACTGAACTCTCCTGACCCCTTTCCGGGAGGGAACGGAGGCCGCTTTCAAGACTCACCGAGAGACGCTGCGTGCAAGAGGCAGTTTCCATCTCCAGTAGTTGCCAAAGGAAGCAGCCTCTGACAGGTGGGGTCCACGCTCACCCACCAGTTCAACCGCCCTACAGAAACAGGAGGAAAAGAAGAGCAGATTATGCATAAAGCTCTTCCCACATCCCTACCTTTAAAAGATTCCAAATCTGCCTCCTCTAGGAAGCCTGCCGGAATCAAATCATAACGCTACTGCTCTTCTCTTACTCAGGCTATTATGTCTTCTTCATTGTATCTAGTTGGTCAGAATCTGTAAGCATAACTAGTTAGATCGATGATTCTTTAAATGGAAATAATTTTGTCCCAAAGGGGACACTTAGCAATGTCTGAACGTAAGTTTGGTTGTCACAACTGATAGCAGGATGCTACCTACGTCTAGTGAGTAGAGGCCAGGGAGGTGCTAAACACAATGCTCAAGGCAGCTCGCACAAAAAAGGATTATCCGGTCCGAAATGTCAACAGTGCTAAGACTGAGCGACCCTGGGTTAGGTGGTTAGGCCAGGGTCATAGGCTGAAATCTGTACTGGCTACTTAGTCTGATTCCTTCACTCTGGTCAGGAGACCAGTAAATATTATAGCTCGGCACAACCCATCAACAGTGTAAGGAAAACAATGCCAAGCATATAGTCAAAGTGTCACGCAAGTATCACCTGCACATATGACAGGCGGTCCGTCAGTATGTATGTGGTATGACTTTAAAGACACAAGCACGTAAAATACCCAAGGTGAGTCTCAGTGCTGTAGTCATCCCACAACTGCCGATCCATCACTTACACGAGGAAAATACTTTCTGAATGACGCTTAAAAGTTTTCTTGAACTACTGAAGAGTACAGAGGAAAAATAGAAACTGGTCTATAATCTCACCAGGTAAATTGCTAACTTTAAAAAAATTATCAGTCAACGCACCTGGGTAGTAGAGAAGGGTACCAAACGAAAACTAAAAGCTTCCTTCCCACACGCCCGCCTCGCTGCCCCGGTCGGTCCGTCCATGGGAGTTTTTAATACCTGACTAGCTTTCCCAGAACACCCATCACATTAGCTAATTTTAACAATAACTTAAGATAAATACAACTGCAAACAAATCCTTTGGGAAAAGTTCAGAAAAACAAACGTGATTTTTCAGATTAATCACCACCGTGCAGTCTACAGCGCTGGCTCCTTCTGTTTACCAAAGCTGTTCCAGAGCGATTATACTGCATTTTTTTTTTCATGCATCGATTTTTAGGTATCGATTCCTAGGCTTTTCATGCGCGTGTCTCGTTTCCCTTCCATCCGATGGGGAAGTGTCTCATCTGTGTTCTTACTGTAACCTGAAGAAGCGCCTGGCTCGGTACGTTTACCTGACTGACTGCTGACTCTGACTGCAATCGGATCGTACCCTTAGACTGGAAGCTCCTGGTCACACCCGGCCCGCCGCGTGGCCCCGGCTGTGCAGAGCGGAGCGGGGAGCGTGGGGAAGAAGGCTTTCACTGACCTGCCTGCTCCAAGGCAACCAGCATAGACTGCTCGATGAGGTCTCGCTCTATGAAGCTGCGGAAGTCTTCACTGTACACGGTGAGGTCTGGAAGCTGGAAGGCACAGACGGGCATTTCCAGGGGGTGCTCACTGCTCCCCCCACCCCCACCATTGGAGGAGACATGGGACCGGGCCAGGGAAACAATGCTGGAGCTGGCGTGGGAGATGCCCCTAGACAGGCGTTTTTCTGCAATGAGAAACGGAGTCACCTTAGAACATACACAGCTCACTCAGAACTTTCCACTCACGTGGAAGATTTCCAGTCAGGGGAAAACGGTGAGTCTCACTGGCTACCAAACTTCACAATCCTCTTTCTCAAGCCAAATACAGTTGGAGAAATAGCGAGTGGCATTTTTGCAGGCACTCACGTTAGCACCAAATATTCATTCCTTTCTCCCCTTTTTGGCATCTGCCCGAACTTCTTCTCCCCATGACTTTTTCCACTTCCATTTCCCAGCATGATAGGGACCCACTTGTTGGGCAGCTTGGTCATTGTTTGTCGGGAGGAAGAGGAAATATGAGGTTTCGTTTGGCTAGATAGACTCAAATAACCTTTCTGATCATTTTCACAGTCTTGCAGAATGTAGAAAAGGATTCCCATCATAGAAAATTAACGATAAATCTTACACATTCGGGAACTTTCTTATCTACCACCAATAACATTTATTTATATTATTTACTATAACTTTTCTTGATATTCATATTTATCAAAAATTTATAGGTACAGTCAATTCTTACTTAACATGTTACAGAGGAAGACAGTAATATAGACAGCAGCCCAAATTATGTCATTTATTTTGAATACATGGCACTTACGATTCCCCAGCAGATATCCCACTGTGACCATAATTTGCTGACTAAAGCATTACAATTCATTTGCACGGCTTAAGTTGTACAAAGATTACCCAAAGAGCTAAAAAACGTGTTGGGCAGCAGTTCTTGACCCAGTATTTGCCAGAGATGATGCAAAAAGTGAGTAGAGGGTTGTCTAAAGTTATTTTATAGTGATGTTATTTTTTAGACTCTTTTTTAGGTATTTAAATAGTACCACACACTCACAGTAAAAAATCAAAATAGAATCAAAAGGTACAAAGTGTTTCAAAGAAACCTCCCTCTCATTCTAAATTCCCGACCCCTTTCCCAGAGGTAACCTTTTGTATCTTTCTAGAATTTTTTATACCCACAGAAGCACATATAGCTTTTAAAATCATACTTTAAAAATCTAAACAGGGTATACTATACACACTGTACTGCATCTTAACTTTCTCAATACATTTTAGGGATTTTTCCAAAACAGCACAAGTTCCACCTGACTCTTTCTAAGGGCTGCAGAGCATCCCACAGTGTGGCTGAGCATCCCGCAGTATAAATGAGCATCCCACAGCGTGGCTGAGCATCCCACAGTATAAATGAGCATCCCACAGTGTGGCTGAGCATCCCATAGTGCAGATGAGCATCCCACAGTGTGGCTGAGCATCCCACAGTATGGATGGCCACAATGTATCTAACCATTTCTCTATTAATGGACATTGAAAGTCGTTTTTAAGCTTTAACTTCCAGGCTTTACACTACATACCTGCATGCGCTTATCTATGTGTGTTTTATTTATTTAATGTATATATATATACACACATGTACATAAACATGATAAATTCCTAGAAATGAGTCTGAGTATACGTGCGTTTTTAAATGTTGGTAGATACTAACAAATATTAACAAAATGGCCTCCAAAGAGGTGGATGGTAGTGACCCTTTGAATTCTATTGTTATGCGCACCTTGTTCCAACAATTACATTGTATTCCCCTTCCTCTATTTTTTCACAGTACCCACAGAAGGCCTTTGTACGGGACAATGCTCAGACTCAGAGCGCTGAGAGAGGCTCCAGCACCTGGACAGAAGGAGGCCACCGCCGACAGCTTGGCCAGGAGAGTGAGAGGAGCAGAGTCGCCGCCAAAAGATCACCAAAGTCTCCAACACCTCCTAGCAGTCCCCGCCTAGCAGGCCCCCTTCCCTCTCCACTCCACGCGCCAACGCTGTTACTCCGGTACCTTGAACGATGTCATCCTGCCGCTGCAGGGTGGGCCGGGGAGGGCGAGCAGACTCTCTATCGGAAAACCCTTTCTCGGGGGTCCTGGAGCCACCACTCCCTTCACTAAAGGGGGACGGCAGGTTCCCAGCATGGACCTGACGTAGCTGTTCAAAATCACTGAGGGCAGCACTCACGTCCCAGTTCTTCCCTGTCAAGAGACAAAGCAGAAAGTGAACTGGGGACAAAGAGTGTAAGGGACCCGCGGACAGACGCAGAACGAGCACGCCAGCCACCCCATCGAGACACGCGAGCAGGCGCTCACGCGCACCTCGCCGTCCTCTCCTCGCCCTGCTCTAACTTTTCTCACACACTTCAATCTGAAATATCACACTATTTACCTACTATTTCGTAAGCGAGCTGCACGAGCACAGAAGCTCTGTCCTTCTGTATTGTTCTAAGTGCTTGCAACTCATTTCATTTTTGTAACAACCTATATGGCATCATCTTCACTTTCATAGCCAGGGAAATTGAAACAATTATTATATGTATTTAACGCTGTTGCTATTATGTTTGTTATATTTCTCCAGTTAAGCTGTATCAGTCATCATATCTGATGAATTTACTTCTGAACCATCACACTCACCATTCGCTCCAACTCCCTCTGCTGGCCTGGAGCGCGAAGAACACCCCACTCAAGGCCTTGCCACCAACCGTTCCCACCGGTCTCCCCAGATGAGCACGACCCCTCATCTCCTTCAGGAATCTGCTCAAATGTCACACTCTTAATAAGGCCCAGCCTGACTACCCAATTAAAAATCACAACCTCATCATTCCCCTTACCGTTTTCCATAGCACGTAACACCTTATAACACACCTTACGATTTACCCGGTTACCATGCTTAGTGTTTATTGACTATCTCTCCCACTAAAACGTAAGGGAAGATTTTTGTTCGTTTTGTTAAGTATCTAGAACCTGGCACATAGTAGGTACTCGATAAATACTTGTTGAAGAATGGAGGGCTTTAGTCCTGAATGAATGAATGAATGAATGACATCTGTTTCGAGCACGGGATCTGTATTTCCAACTGTCTGCTAAATTCCCTAAAATCAGGTCCTCCTAACAAGCAACATACCCAACACTGAACATCCATCATCTTTCCTCCTAAACCTGCTTCTTCTCCTCCGTCAGCCTGTGTCCCCTCAGTCAGCAACGGCATCACACCCCCTCCAGGCCGGAAACTTCAGCTGTCTTCAGCTCCTCGTGATTCCTCAGATCCTGCTCCTCCTCGCCCACTGCCTAGTCACCCCTCACATCGGTCCCCCCAGAACACCTCCCCACTCCATTCTCTCTTATCCATTTCTACTGTCACCACCCCAATTCAGTCCTCATAATCTCCGCGGGGTCCTTGGTCTTTTGGGAGGGGCTGTGCAGCCTCTCAGCCCCTAACCCCCGCCCTCTCTAATTTGTTCTTTACACTACAACCGGGGTTACCTTTGAAAAGAGAAAGTAAGAGACAGAAAATGACGATCAGTCTTCTGATTCCCCTTCTAAAGTGTGTCCTAAATCCATCCACTTCCCAGTCTGCTCTCCCACTGCAGTCCGTGTCACTGTCACTTCGCATCTGGACTGCGGCGACGTTCTCAACTGACTTTACCACGTCCGCTCTGGCTGCCTGCCGGCCCGTTCCACATCCTTCAACCAGCACAGTGCTTCAAACTCAGACTCGATCGCGTCACCCCCTGGTCAAAATCCGTCACCGGCTCCCCACTGAATGCAGAATGGAATTTAAGTTCCTTACCGCGGCCCACAAAGGCCCCCAGGTTCTGCTTCCGGCCTGTCTACGCCAGTTCCCGCCATTCTCCCAGCGCTTTTCTTCCCTCACTCGCTATGAGTTTCTTCAATGTGCCAAACTCTCTTCCACCTTAGTCCTTGTACGAGCTGTTTCTTCTACACACACACACATGCTCTCTTCTCCACCCGCTGCTACCCCTACGCATCCTTCTGGGTTCAGCTCGAACGCCACTTCCTCAGAAAGGCCTTTCTGCGCTCTCTAATTCAGCTTTTTCTCTTAATTGCCATAGCACCCTCGACTTTTCTCTGAGAGAGAAAAGCATTAATTGGCAACAGAATTGTTAAGAGCCAGACTCTGAAACCAGACCGCCTAGGTTCAATCCCACTTAACCTCTCCGAACGTCAGTTTTTAAAATGTAATGCTGGGCTAGTGAAACCTATACTGCAGAGTAGTCGTGAGAATAAACGTTATCTCAAGTATGTCACACATGGCACATATAGGTGTGCAACACAGGCTATAAGAGGAAGAGGAGGCATTTGAGCTGAATCCTGAAGGACGAGGACAATTTCAGAATAGTGACACGGCATGCTCAGGACACTGCCTGCTCAGGAAATGTGATCAGGGAAAGGTGACGGGGTAGATGCTGGAGCACAGGAAGTGTGGGAGCGGGTAGCAGGAGATGAAAATTTTAGATGCAAGTTAAGGGCAAAATCATACTGAATTAGCAAACTGGAATTTAAACCCTGATCTTCCGTTTCCAAACTAACGCTCTACCCACAGGTAGCCAAGCAAATGTCAAATTGTGATACCTTTGGATGACAACCTAAAAAATTATCCATGTAAGAATGTGCCCTTTCCCCCACAAGCTTACCTATTTGTATCACTATATGTTTTCATCGTCAATAAGCATGTGTTAATTATGACTCCAAAGAATCCCACTGAATGATTCCATGTCTAAAGACCTTAGAATCTAGAGCGGGCATCCTTACGCGTGTGTACCGATGCAGGGAAACAAAAGAAAATGAAAATAGGAAATCGATGCACTCTGCACAGAATTACCCAAAAAAGGGAAGGAAAGAAACAAAACCACAGATTACTCCAAATACGAAAATCTAAAAGTCATTTCCATATAGAAGTCTTAAAGATCTAGAATTACGCTTTTAGTGAACTAATATAAAATTTCACTTGCATTACCTGAGCATAAATTGACAGTGCAGAAAGCTATACCAAAAATTCAAGGTGAAAAGGGTATTTTTGCATTTTTAAATTATGGTGGGTCATACGCAAAGTAGATTATTAGAAGTAACTTAAATGGAAGGCCTACCACACAAAAAGTGTCTTTCTGATCACCTTAAACGTTCTGAATCATCCTAATAAATATTATCGCATTTGACTTTCTCTCCTCATTCTCTCCTGATGACCACTTACCTTCCAGGAGATCTCGGGCCAGCCCTGGCTCTGCTCCCGTGGAACGGACAAAATCAGACAGGACAGCATCCATGTCCGGGGTCATGTGATCACTACGGACTCTCAGGCAGCTGATGTAGGGAGGACATAGGTCAAAATTCGGGGTCTCCACCTAAGGAGGAAATAAACACGTAAGGCTCAAATCTGGAACCAGATGATCACAGCCCGATTTCTGCAGCTTCCAACCCAAATGGGGAATCTCTCCATCCCAGCTCATTCACTTCAGTTGAATTTATTATGAAGAGTAACATTTAGTTTTCTAATTCCTCATTCATTTCTTAAATACTACATTACCACAAAACCATAATACCACTCTAGATAACGCTTTACCCTGCCTTTCTGGAGTGTAACCTTTCCACTCATTGGTTTGCTAATCCAAACTCGCGAGAGGAAGCAGAGACGGCCACCCTGAAGAAGTCCCTATCTGCGTTATTCTCTAATATAACACCTTGTTTATTTCCTTCTGACACTTGATATGCCCTGAAATCACTGTAATTAGTTGCTGACTAGCTTCCTTCTCTAATATGTAAGTTTCTTGAAAGGACGCTTACGTGTCTTGTTCACTCATGTGTCCCCAGCATGTATCACTTGGCACTTGGCACCGTGCTAGGCACGCAGGCCCTCAGTAAGTATCTGCTGAATGAATGAAGGAATACTATACACTAAACCTTTAGAGCTGACCACTCTTCTGATGCTGGCTAAGGAAATGACAGGAGCAAACTAATAGCTAAAACTACTCGAAATAAAACCATATACTGTTAGAAAGAGTGGCAATCCCAAAGGTTCATGACAAAATTCAGTCTTTGTCCACTAACTCCACGACCGCGGGAAGCATGCCTTTCTCCGCCCAGGCAAATGACTGCCAGTAAGTTCACCTGAGAAAGATCTCTTTCAGACTTGACTTTGGCAGACACTACGTCCCTGACCGGGCAGCCCCGCATCGATCGCGTCCCTCTGAAGTGAGCAGTCTCAGCTACGGAAGCAGTGACAGAACGGAGGGCAGTTTCTACCCAAATTCTGCCTATCGCACAGGTTTGCAGTTCTCTGTAGAAGTGGATTTGTTCATAAAGTCACCAGGCGCACATCTGCCCTATGACACCCACCGTGGAAGGCCAAAAGTAGATTTTTCAAAGGTAACGGGTGACAGGTGACTGCCTCTTCAGAAACACCTCCTAAACGATCTGAAGGCTAAGGGTAACTCTCAGATCTACTTTTTCTTCACACCAGCTCTGACCCCAGGACACAGCTTCAGTGGTATGATCACACCCCGCTTCTCTGCATTCCTTAAAATACAAAGGCGACGATTTGTGGGTCACAAACCCAGTAGGTCACTGACTTGACAACACTGAATTTTCATGAGAGAAAAATGGCAAAATAGAGTATTCTCTCTTTAACTGTGAGATCCGTGAGTGTACGGACATGTTTTATTCATATTTGTAGTCCCAACATCTAATGTAGCATCTACAATATTACAGGTAGTCAATCAATGCCTGATGAGTAAATGATCAAATGGTTGAGTGAATCTCCATATCAGCCACCACTGAACCAATCTGAGGCTTAACGTAGAAGATCAGAAATTCTAGGGTACTTCAAACTTCGTATCGCCCCTCTATTTTTAAGGGCCTATGCCCTGGTCCCAATCTCTCTCTCGAAGTTTTAGAAACTCTCCTTTTTAAAGAGACATCAATTATACTGTCACTATTTCCACTGTCCTCATATCGCATGATTTTTACCTACATCTACATATACTAGCTGCGAGACTCTGGTCAAATTACTCACAGGGTTTCAGTTGCCTCTTGTATATCCTAGACTTGGATTCGATGACTTTAAGATCCTTTCCGGGCTGAAGAACTGAACTTCTTCAGCTCACTGGAGCCTCATAAACTATGATCCTTATATTTCCTTTTGGTCTGCGTATTATCAATGTCTAATTTACTTCCATGCCAATTATCACAATTGTCAGTAAAGGCTACCAATACATACAGAACTTCTGGCTGAAGATAACTCAAATTTAAAATGTTAAGTTACAAAATCAGTTAGTTCCTCACATTCATTACTTAAGAATTAAAATTTTTCAGAAGTCAGAGATGACTGAGGAGCTTCTCCCTCTCCTAATACAGACAAGAATTCCTCCTGTAGGCTCATTTCAGTCAGTCTTGGGTCGCAGGAGATGGTAGCAGCCCGAATAGCTTAAATTCATGAATAATTCAAAACCAAGAGCATGCTGCAAAATGAACTTCAATCTTCTATCTTTAAAAAAAAAAAAAACATGCAAGAGAACTTGGTAAAGCTACTTTAATTTCCGAAAGAATGTGGGAAATATAGAATAAACAGACAAATAGCTATCAGTAAAAAAGTGCTCAGAAGAGAAAAGAGCTGATTAAGCCACAGGCAACTTCGCAGCTGGACACAGGCTTCCGAGTGAGAGAAGCCAATGAAAACCACCAATGTCATGGAATCGCAGATCTCACAGGCCAAAGCTGTAGGCCATTCTTTTCAAAAAGTATTTAAAAAAAATAATTTAGAGGTCCAATATTATCTAGAAGGCCTTGCTCAAAAATTCAAAGCACTAACCCATACTTCTCGGCAGCACATTCTTTCATAGTTGAGGTCTCCAGGTGCATGCCACGGACTCCGCCCAACCCCACCCAACAGGTGAGGACAGCGCATTTGTGACATCACCACCGACACCTGGCTGGAGCGTCTCAGATTCCGAATGGGAGTATCCAGGGCAATGACTAAGACTCACAGTCCTTGGCTCTGTGTCGGCACACCGGAAGGAAAAGGAGAAAACAAAACGCTGGCTTGCAAACTTTCAAATGAAACAGAACAGGCTCTCAAATAGTTGTTGACCGAATGGTATTTAGACAAATTTCGATTGGAGTCAAGATCCTCCAACCTTCTAACTGGAAGAGACCTCAGTGATTATTTGATCCGATGTCTGCCCCCGCACAAGAAGCTGTCTATTACATCTGATGGAGCAATCGTCCAGTCTCCGCGTGAATACGAGCTTTGATGGAGAACCCATTTCTTTGCCAGGATGTCCATTTTACTGTTGGACAGCTCTAATTGTTAGAAAATGCTTTTCTAAACTAAATCACCAGCCCTCCTCCTCTCACACAATGGTCCCTGCTCTGTTCTCCAGAACAATAAAATCTATTCCCGGGAATGACGAAATTTTTACGGAACATGATTAGATAAAGCATTTCTTTACATAAAAATTTATTGTGGCCCAACACTGCAACGTTATGAGCCAGCCAGTGCTCTCACATCACAAAGTCCGTCCTAGCGTCAGTGCCTGCTCCTACCCGCATTCATTCATTCGTGTTTGTGTCGACCCTGTAGCATGGACGCAAGATGTGGAATAAATGAAGTCGGTGTCTTGTTCCAAGTTCACTCCTGCCGTCTCTGCTCTCACCTCTACTTCCACTTCCGGGCCCTCCTGAAGTGATGACAGCAACCAAGAATAAAAGCTGACAATATTAATTAAGCTCTTTCAAAAACATCATCTTACTCATTAACGCCAATCCTCCTCCAGCAGGCTTATCATTCCCAGTTTACAGACGGAGAAACAAATAAGGCCTGGACAGTCAGGGGGCGGGGGGCTGCTCAAAGTCTGAACCCAGATATTGTGAACACATGCTCTCTCTACTCTACCACGCTGCCTCTAAGGCGCTGGGGCACGATGTTCCCCAGACCTGCACTGATTCTCACCCAGTTAATTCCTTCACCGTTGGAAAGGCCTGTGCCAATCTCTATTTATTAATGACTTAGATGCCTGTCTTATATTTCAGATTTCCTCACTTCAAATCCTTCCATTTTCCTCAGCAATTTCATCACCCATCTTCACAATCCATGCAACATTTCGACTGGAGAAATTAAAAATCTCATCAAATGCAAAGACCTCGTCTCTACTCCAACAACTCAGTCCTGGATCCTGTCATCTCCAGAAACCACCCCACCTCCAAGTCTTCAACTCCCAACATCTTACTCTGGCTACAACCTCGTCTCCTTCCAGCTTTTCCTCTCGACTACTAAACCACCTCAGACCAAGACATCCAGTTCCTTAACCACCTTATTCATAAATTCAACAAAAATCCAGGGAGTGCCTACTGCGTGTTAGGCATTATGGTCAGGACGAGGAACATAACCGTGAACTAGAACGATCTCTCATCACAAAGCTCCCAGTGTGGAGAAAGAAAACCACAAAATTTCACCAACAATTATAATTTATTAACGAAATGCTGAGGGGAGAAGCGTTGTCTCCTATAGGGTCAGGAAAAGCTTCCCCAAGGAAGTGACGTTACATCGAAGAACCAGAGATTGAATAGGAACCGGAGAGTCAAATCGGGAAAGAAAAAAATGCTCTGAGCAGAGGAAACATCTATCTACGTTCTATGGCAGGAAGGAACGGTGCAAAATGAGGATGAAGAAAGGGCCTCGTGGACCCTGTTAAATTGAGAGTTTTATCCTAAAAGTAACGAGAAGCCACTGAAGGGCTGTGAGCAGGGGCAGGATATAACCAGACTCGAATTATTAAAAGATCGCCCTGGTTGCAGTGAGAAGAATAGTCTGGAGGGAGCACAAGTGGATTAAGCGAGAATTGGCTAGAAAATTATTACAAGGGTGATGGAGAGGTGGACCAGAACGATGGCAGTGAAGACTGAGAAAAACAGAGACCCTACTGTCCCTTCCTGCATAACGGAATGTGAACCCAATGACTGATCGCTTAATTTACTTTCCTGTAAAAACCTAATTCCCTTATTCTTCTATTTCATCCGCCCAACATGGATCCTGCATTCAACTTCTCTGCTACTAAATGGGACTATTGAGTAAGACAAGACCGCATAACCTTGCAGAGCAATGACTACAAATATACGATGTTCAGTCTCATTCCTTTCAACGAAACACTGCCGTCTTTTGCTTGATTTGGGACCTCAACCGAACTTCTCGGTACTATCCCACACCTTCACCATTCTCCTCGAGCCTCCTACCATCCCTTCTCACCTCCCTTACTCCTGGCAGATGACCTTGCCTCCAACTTCACAGAGAAAACTACGAAACAAGAACAAAGCCAGAGGAGTTCCTTCGGGTTCCCTCCCCTCCCCTGCT